TCCAGTGGGCCAGGAGCAGGAGGCAGAGCTGGACCCCAAGGTTGAGGGGCTTTCACCAGCCCCTAGAGCCTGGCACTTTGAACTTGGACTTAAAGGCTCCAAATTGTAAGAATAAACTCCTGTTTGTTAAGGCCATCCCATGAGTGGTATATGTCTTGTCAGAGCGGCACTAGGGAACCAGAACAGCATGGGTGGAGTAAAACTTTCTGGATCTTCATCTGCTGATGCGGCATATCTCAAAACGAGAAGAAACGGCTGCAAACCTCCATTAATAATCGGAATGTGGAATGTATGAAGTATGAATCTAGGAAACCTGAAAGCTGTCAAAATGAAATGGAACACATAAAGACTGATATCGTAGTCATTACTGAGCTACACAGACTGGTACTGGACATTTTGAATTAGACAATCATATGGTCTACTATTCTATTCATAAGGCTTTTGAGTTGTGGTGCTGGCGGAGAATGCTGAAAGTACCATGGACTGCTAAAAGAACTAACAGATCTGTCCTGGAGGAAGTGCAGCCAGAATGCTCCTTGGAAGCAAGAAGGCCAGACTTCGTCTCACCTATTTTGGTCATGTTGTAAGAAGGGACCATTCCCTGGAGAAGGATGTCATGCTTGGTAGGGTGGAGGGTCGACGAAAGAGGGGGAGGCCTTCAACAAGATGGATTGATACGGTGACTGCGATGATGGGATCAAGTATAGCAGGGATTGTGGGGCTGGCGCAGGATCGGGCAGTGTTTTGTTCTGCTGTGCATGGGGTCGCTATGAGTCGGAAACAACTCAACGGCACTTAACAACAACAACAACAACAACATGGTCTACTATGCCAGGAATGAGAAATTGAAGAGGAATGGCATTATAATCATCATCAAAAAGAACATTTCAAGATCTATACTGAAGTACAATGCTGTCACTGATAGGATAATAGAAGTGGTAAGAGTAAATATCTGTGTCTTATGCTTGATTTTTAAGGTGAAAATATTGTCTTTTACCAGTAAATATGATGCCAGTTGTAGGCTTTGCATAGGCTCTTTAATCAGGTTGAAAAAGTTTCCTTCTGTTTCTAATTTGCTAAAAAGCAAGATGCAAACCAAAAACAAAACCTACTGCCATTGACTCAATTCTAACTCACAGGGATCCCCATGGGGATTCCAAGGCTATAAATCTTTACAGAAGTAGGTTGCCTCATCTTCCTCCTGTGGAACAGCTGGTGGGTTTGAACCATCAACCCAGTTAGCAGCCAAATGCCTTACCCATTATGCCACCAGAGCTCCTTAAAAAGGAAGACAGATTTTTGTCAAGTGCTTTTTCTGCATCTGTTAAGTGGCTTAAGAGGATCTTATGGTTTTTCTCTTTTAGTTTATTAATATGGTAAATGACATTGATTTTTTTTGAATCTTGAAAGAATTCTGTATTCTTGGGATAATCCTACTTAATCATGATGCATTGTCCTTTTACATATGTTGGATTCAATTTGCTACAATTTTTAGAAGAATTTTTGCATGAATAAATGGGACTAGAATTTGAGGTCTTACCTAGTTTCATGCCTGGCCTCTGTCACACAAATGCCTATGACCTTGAGCCAAGTTATTTATTCACTTTGATCCTTTTCTGATTTTAAAGAGGAGACAATTAGATCTAATTCATAGTAGTAATCTTGTGAAAAAAATTACAAAGGAGAGAAAGTTCCCAACTCGTTATTTCAGTCAGAATTACCGTGATACCAAAAACAGACAACTTGACAAGAAAAGACAAATATCCTTCATAAATATATATATATGCTGAGATGAGATATATATACAAACATTTATCAAATCATTAAATTAAGTCAAATTTATAGAGAGCTAACATATATGGCCTTTGGTGACATAACTTGAGTATAACTAGACAAAAGTCTTACAGAATTAAATGTAAGTGCAATACACAATTACATTCACAGCCACAAAGGCAAGTTAAGTCACTCACAGAAAGCCTCGGAATCTATTGAGGTCGTTGTTTGGACTTTCACATTCTATCCTACTGGAGAACTTCTCAGGATCAACTTCAGAGTCCTGCATTTAAAAAAAAAAAAAATCACAAAATAATTCAAAGTAAAACACTTGAGATTTAGGTGTTTTATCATTTTTACCCAATTCTCAAGATAGCACTACAACACTCTTATCACAAAGTCTGTAAGTTTCCCAGAAGAAGAAAAGTATACATATAATTATGAATGAATAAATGAGACCAGAATGATCTTAGAACATTAAAACACATTTGCATGTGAGCAAATGTTTGAATCATTCACTGAAATCTATATGGGCCTTGGCAGAAGAGAGAACTTCTACTCACAGAATAGACAACCTTTTTATCCAGAGGACTCTGAAAATATTTTTACTATTTTCCTTTATATAAGTTGTTTCTGAGATTAAAGTACATACGAATACTCTAAGCACATATATATTTGATCTCAGCAAAGTTTATATTTGGGAATATATTGATAGAACAGGAAGATGAGTTGGACGTCTTATAAAATTCCCCAAAGGATCAAATAGGTCATTATGGAATGCTTTATAAAACCAATGAGCAAACAAGCAAAATACCCTCATAAGACAGGCATGTCCTCATTAAGAATAAGTCACATCAAACTTATCTCATTTCATTTCTTTATATGGCTTTTTAGGTGAGAAATGTTATT